TCAAGTGGAGAAAATATGGCACAACAGTGACATTACCAAGAACTGGACATCCCTCCAAAATGTATATAAAGACGAGAAGAAAACAGGTCTGGGAGACTGCCAAGAGTCCTACAGCAACATTAAAGGAGCTGCAGGAATATCTGGCAAGTACTGGCTGTGTGGTACATGTGACAAGAATCTCCTGTATTCTTCAAATGTCTGGGCTATGGAGTGGCAAGATGGAAGCCTTTTCTTACAAAGAAAAAACATCCAAGCCCGGCTAAATTTTGCGAAAACATATCTTTGGTCTCCCAAAAGCATGTGGGAAAATGTGTTATGGTCTGATGAAACCAAGGTTTAGCTTTTTGGCCATAAGTCCAAAAGATCTGTTTGGTGCAAAAACAACACCGCACATCACCAAAAGAACACCATACCCACAGTGAAGCATGGTGGTGGCAGCATCATGCGTTGGGGCTGTATTTCTTCAGTTGGAACTGGGGCCTTAGTCAAGGTAGAGGGAAGATTAAAGTTTTGGAATGGCCCAGCCAGAGCCCAGACCTGAATCTGATCGACAATCTGTGGGGTGATCTGAAGAGGACTGTGCACCAGAAATGCCCTCGCAATCTGACAGATTTGGAGTGTTTTTGCAAGTGTGACAGTACAAGGATCTGTCACTGTATAAGTGGTCAGCAAACGGACACAGGGTTTGCACTTTGCTGAGCGCAGAACTAGGGAGTAAATGCTCTGAATAGAGAAAACACTGCTTTTGCAGCTTTCTCCAGGTTTTGGTAGTGCTGGAAGGGGCTCCGTAGTTGGGAGATTCCATGGTGCCTGGGGCGGAACGGAATCTCCAACCCAGTGTCTGGGTTTTGTGGAGAACAGCAGAGTGTGTGTCCAGGTGCACACAACCCTTATAATGGAGGTTTAGGAATACCTCGGGGCTCCACCCAAGAGAGACAGGAGGTCTCCTACGGGAGTCAGAGAGGCTGCAGGTGGCACCTGAAGTATGAAGGTCTGCAAGAGACAGTTAATGGCCTGAGGACTTGGCCAGAGGAGTCGTGTGAGGCTCTCAGCTATGTGCCTGAAAGAACTGGTAGTCAGAAGGACCAGTGTCTATAGCAGCAGTGTTGCTGAAGAGTAGCCAGGTGGGCTAGTATTTTCATTTGGGCTGTGTATACTTTTCTGGAGAAGAACCCCTGCGTGGGAAACCTTAAATTGGACTTTTGTTTTTTCCTTTCTTTTTAATAAAAGTGGGCTGCCAAGCCCTGAAATCTAGTTCCTGACTTGTATGAACTCACTTGAAAACGCATCTACTACTGAGCTTAACATCTCCCATATGACACAAGGAAGAGTGTGCAAATATTGCCAAGTCACCCTGGGTTTACATCTGTGTGGGTGGTGCCGCTGCGGATCCTCACGAAAATCCGTGCAGCTGTACCACCCCATACAAAGAAATGCGGACCCGCAGGCAGGTGCCATTAGTTCTAATGGCAAGCCGCCCGCACTGGAAAACGCAACCATACTGGGAACCGAGGTTCCCGTGCGGGCTGCTTTTTCAAAAGAAATGCAGGGACTTCTTCTTCCTGCGTGTCGTGGCATGGGAGTCCATTCAAATGAATGGGCTCTCGTGCCTGTGCAAAACATGGCCCGCACGGCCTCATATATGTGAACCGGGGGTCAAGGTGTGCCATGCTGATTGATAGACTCATACCCAAAAAGACTGAGTGCTGGAATAAAATCAAAACGTGCTCAACAAAGTATTAGATTAAGGGTGTGCACACTTATGCAACCAAATTATTTTTGTTTTTTATTTTTCTTCCCTCCACCTAAAAGATTTCAGTTTGTTGTTCAACTGAGTTGTACAGTTTATAGGTTACATTAATGGTGGAAACAGTTCTGAAATGATTTGTTCTGAAATTATTTATCCTTCTCATTTTTTTACATCACAGAAACCTGACATTTTAACGGGTGTGTAGACTTTTTATATCCACTGTACTTTAAATGCAAGCAGTGCAAGTGCCTGAATTTGACCTTGTTTGAGCCTTTTGCATTCCTGTATAGAAGAACTCAGACTGGAAGGATAAGAAGGAGTACAGGGAGCCAATCTGTTCATGTGACAACAAGAAGCATGCTCATAGAAGGAGAGAGCAGAGTAACAGAGAAATTAGCTCATCACTGTGAGGCTTCTGCTTTTAATGTCTGTTCTCAGGTTGGAGCGAGGTCATCCTGGGCTCTGACGTAGTGGTCGAATGATGCTGGCCATTAGACTGAGGACATTGGTTTTATTTCTATCCATGACTCCACTGTGAAGATTTTACCCATAACAACCACAAAAGAAATGTAATTAATTTTCACTGATATAAGGAAGACACAGTCAGCAATGTTAACCTCTTTATGCCTCCTCCCTTCTGCCTTTTAAGTGGCATTTAATGCTTCAGGAGGTGGTGCAGCTTCTCTGTCAAGTCACCACTGTGATTGGCTCTCACAGCAGTCACATGATCAAGGGTCCATCCATCTGTCTCCCAATCAGTAGTTGTGACCAGGGGCGGACTGACCATTTGCAAACTCGTGCACTGCCCGAGGGCCCGGGGTCAGTAGGGGGCCCAATGAGATGCCCCTGGTACCTTTTTCATAGGCTTTTTTGAGTTTGGGCAAGGACACAGGGGCCCCATGATCCCCTATTGCCCGGGGGCCCCATTAGTTGTCAGTCTGCCCCTGGTTGTGACTGAGGCTTGGTTCATACTGATGTGATGTGGGAAACGCACAGGAATCGTGTTTCCTGCATCGCATAGCAATTGAACAGTGTTCATGCTATCTGCTGCGAGTGTGAATTAAAAGTTAGCAGCACCCCAAAATCAGGTCGCAGAACGCAGTGCTTTTGTCTGAATCGGATTACATGGGTATGAACACCCATGCAATCCGATTCCAGTGCGGCAAAAAAAAAGGTGCCTGCACCTTTTTTCGTACAGATTTCAGAGCAATTTGAGCCATACAAAATGATGGGCTCAAATCGCACCGCAGAAAATCACACATGATTTGCACAGGAATGCGGTGATATTCCTGTGCAAATCACATGCGATGTGGCAGTATGAACCGTGGCTAAGAGCTGTCAGTGACAGCTCAGTCAGTGTGCTGGGAGAAAGCAGTGAGCTTACTTTCAGCGCACAGCCTCAGCCCACCATGGTTACATATGTGCAGCAGCTAGGTGCTAAAGCTCACCTTCTTTTCCACTGCATACATACATTACAATGGTCAGTAAGAGGTTAACATTGTCAGGTTCTAACTTTTCTTCACACTACTAAGAATGTATGTTTTTTATTTTCTCAGTCCCTGTTTGAAATATTTCCATTCAGTCCTTGTACTTGGATTGGAACCTCTGTTAGCTTTTTATGGCAATCTCTGTGTCCATTTGAGTGATATCACATCACTGACAGGTGTCAGAGAGAATAGTAAATGAGGATAACCACACACACACTCTCTTCCTGTGTATTTGACAGATGGTGGAAAGAAGAGAAAGTCTCACAAGGGTGACAGAGGCAGTAATAAAAACACAATTTCTGGTAGGTAAGGTTCACAGTTTGTCAGGATTCCATTGCTCTCTGAATCCCCACTGCAGAAAGCCCTTAACTTCCTGTACAGGTGACAGCTGTCAGAGAGAACAGGAAGATGGTCAATATTAGCTCTGTGGAGACACAGATAGCATTTAAAATCTAAAATAAAATCTCTATTTATTTAAAACTTGCCAGATGTTTAAATTTTCCCTGACCTTTGTATAGGGTTGACACATTTTCTCAGAAAAAAATGCCATCTTTATGGGTTCTTTCTTACTCATACACCAACAACAGGTCCCACATTTAATGACCGTTTTGTCTTTATATTTAATAGTAGTAACGTCTTGTTTTGAGTACAAGTAACTGAAAAATTAAAAAGGAGAAATAGCATGAAATGGTCCTACACATATAGTTTAAAGTCTACATTCAGTTTTATAGTAATTTTTGAAAATAATACATTTTAAGTACAACTACAGACACAACTTTGTTTTTCTTTTTTTATTTCAGTGTAAGGAAGGAGATTTTGACATCTGTGCCCATTGAGGAGATTTACTTTCACTTCCTGTCCCTTTGTCAAAACAGGAAGTGAGAGGAAATCCTTCCAAGATGAGGGAAACCCTAAATGTCACCAGTGTCACGAAAGCTAAAAATCCTAATACGTGTAAATTAAATGGTTTACGTGAAAGTTTTAGCATTTACAAATGGCGGTATAGATACTGGAATTTTTTCATTTTTACTAGTAATGGCGGCGATCAGCGACTTATAGCGGGACTGCGGCGGGCACTCTGACACTGAAAGGGACTGACTTGGTGTCACTGACACCCCCAGTGAAACCACTACAGTGATCGATGCTAAAAAAATCTACTAATGGCACTGGGCAGGAAGGGGTTAACATGAGGGGCGATCAAAGGGTTAACTATGTGCTGTTTTACTTGTGTCTGTGCTTCACTGTAATCACACTGCTTTGGATGGCTGTGCTGTGCACAGCCATCCAAAGCAGCGTGCACGAGCTGACAGGGAGGAGAACTGTATTGTTTGCATACAGTTCTCCTCCCCGTCAGAGATGCTCTGCAATCACCAGGCGCCGGCGAGTAATCACCAGCCGGGACCCGGTGATTGACAACCACGAATGGCGACGTGGGTAGGGCGCACGTGTGTGTGTGTATATATATATATATATATATATATATGTGATATGTGATTTTGCACACCCTTGCCACCCTGTAGCAATATATCTACTATAGGGCAGTCTGGAAGCTGTTAAAATATGATTTACTTATTGTTTGTTTGCGCAGTCATGTTGGAACAGGAAGGGGCCATCCCCAAACTGTTTCCACAAATTTGGGAGCCTGAAATTGTCTGAAATGTCTTTGTATGCTGATGCTTTAAGAGTTCCCCTCACTGGAACTAAGGGGCCAAACCCAAACCCTGAAAAACCAACCCACACCATAATCCCCCCTCCACCAAACTTTACACTTGGCACAATGCAGTCAGGCAAGTACCGTTCTCCTGGCAACTGCCAAACCCAGACACGTCCATTCGATTTCCAGACAGAGAAGCATGATTCGTCACTCCAGATAACACATCTCCACTGCTCTAGAGTCCAGTGGTGGCATGCTTTACACCACTGCATCCAACGCTTTGCATTGCACTTGGTGATGTAAGGCTTGGATGCAGCTGCTCAGCCATGTAAACCCATTCCATGAAGCTCTCTATGCACTGTTGTGTTAATCTGAAGGCCATACAAATTTTGGAGGTCTTTAGCTATTGACTCTGCAGAAAGTTGGCAGACAGTTGGCAACATCTGCGCACTGTGTGCTTCAGTATGCGCTGACCTGCTCTGTCATTTTTCGTGGCTGTTGTTCCCAGTTGCTTATAATACCACTACCAGTTGACCGTGGAATATTTATTAGCAAGGAAACTTCACAGATGGACTTGTTGCACAGGTGGCAACCTATCACAGTACCACGCTTGAATTCACTGAGCTCCTGAGAGCGACCCATTCTTTCACAAATGGTTGTAAAAGCAGTCTGTATGCCTAGGTGCTTGATGTTATACACCTGTGGCAATAGAGGTGATTGGAACACATGATTCCAATGATATGGAGGGGTGTCCCAATTTTTTTGGTAATATAGTGTATATTGTACATTCACATCAGTCCCTGCCCTCAAGGAGCTTACAATCTAAGGTCCCTAGCTCACATTCATACATACACATACTAGGACCAATTTAGAAGCCAAGTAACCTAGCAGCATGTCTTCAGAGTGTGGGAGATAGCCAGTGAACTCAGGGGAAACCCACACAGGCACAGGGAGAAAATGCAAACTCTGTGCAAGTAGTGACGTGGTTGGAATTCAAGCTGATGAGCCCAATGCTGCTAGGCAGAAGTGCTAACCAATTAACGACTGATGCTCCATCCTTTGCCTGTGTTAATTTTATATGTGAACCTGTTTGCCTCAACGTCAGTTTGTAGACCTTACCTATGCCTGTGAACTTGGTATATCACTTGGATCTGCAGTTTCAGATGTCACCAGTTGAGTAAGCCTGAGGTCTGGGACCTTGAGACAGCCCATACCAAGGGATGTTTATTCAACTACATGTTTTGGCCAAACATATGCCAATTCTCATTACTATTGATTGTCCATTCTATCCCATTATAGTTCATCAACCCATCATAATACGTTGTACACAAAATCCTACTACACTAATCTAATATGTGGTTTAAAAGGCAAACTCTAGTTTGTTAAATCACCTTCCCTGAGATGCCCCCTGCAATTGAAAAAAAAATCTATTTTTCAATTTTGGTCTGATGATGCAATGAGTCATTTCTTTTCTCCTCCAGCGAAGGTGGGGGATAGTGTTTACTGCTGCACTATACAGCACTCACATCATGAAGTGTAAGCACTGTTCCATGTAGTAGAGCCCAGGCTACAAGATGAAACGCCCCAAGGGGCAGTTCCATCACAGCCTGGTATCCAAGGAAGTGGGTTGGATGATGCCCATCAACCCACAAGACTGGTGACATCTAGTGACAAAGAAGAATTTGAACAGGGGACAGTTCTGAATTGAAGATGTGTATTCCAGCAAAAGTTGTTTATATATTTTTATTGTTTAAATGGCTATTCATATTTTATTTTTGGTTGGAATTTGCCTTCAGAAGTTAGCTGTAGTATTCAGCATTCAACATGTCTGTAATTTCTGATCTATTTGGTATAAGTTTGTTTTGCTCTCATCATTTTGTTTATTACCGGTACTTATATAGCGCTGTCAATTTATGCAGCGCTTTACATATATCTTGTACATTCACATCAGTCCCTAACCTTCAAGGAGCATATAGTCTAATGTTCCTAACTCACATTCATATAATACATACTCATACTAGGGCCAATTTAGACAGGAGCCAATTAACCTACCAACATGTCTTTGGCACATAGAGAACATGCAGCCTTCAGGCAGGTAGGGCCGTGGTTGGGATTCAAACCAACGACCCTAGTGCTCCTAGGCAAAAGTGTTCACCACTTAGCCATTGTGCTGCTCATCATAATTACTTTTGCCATTAAATACATTTCCAACCCAGCTCAGAAATTAATTCTCATGTTTTGATTCCATATGCTGTAGCATTATGGTAAACCTCTAACTGAAGGAAACCTTTATTACCAATTTAGGTTACCGTTGAAATGTGAAAAGAATTATATACTCTTGAAGGTGTAGTTCTTTTGTACCTGATTAAGGAGCGGGGTAATACTTGCAAAAGCCCCCTTTTCATGGATTGTTTTATTTTACAGAATGCCATTTTTATGGTACTCCCCTTTATAGTTTACATTTTTTGTCTTGATGTTGATTTCCAAACATCTAATTTTCTTTTGTGCAGTCTAGAACATTGCTTCTTGATTAGTTGTGTTGTGTTGCCAAAGCTCTTTATTCTCATAAAACATTTAAACATGTTGGATAAAATAAATGATCTACAGTTGAATTATAATTGTTGTTTGTGTTTTTTTTAATTTGGTTAAGTTTACTTTTTTTTACTTATTGTATAGATTTGTGTCATTTTTTAGAGCCTAAAATGACAGTTTTAGCTGTATATTTCATTTTGGTTTCATGTGTGTCTCTTCCAAAAGCCAAGACTTTGATGCATGCTAAAAAAAGAGAACATTGGCTATATGCTGCGTAGAATAAAAATATGCTTCTGGTCAGAGATGGTATTAAAATAGTTAAGAATCAGACCTGTGCCACACTACTGTGTTTGTTTTAAAGCATGGGCTGCCTTCTAAGACCTTGTAATGTTTCTATGGTAATACAAGTACTAATAAAAAGTAGATCTGACACTACTGTTTTGAGTACCAAACTAGCACAATATGTTAGACTTAATTACCCTTAACAATTGTGTCTTTTGCTATCATTCGTCTCTTGCATGAAATTGTGTATTATCTACAATCATATACTTGTAATTTGATGTAAACAGTTTATAACAAGAGATCTGTTGTTTGCTAGTCTTTAAGTGGAGGCTGGATTAAATGGAGATTTATGGCTAATGTGTCCTTGTTGATTCTCAGTTATTATTTTCAGCCAATTATATTTGCCATGGCAATTATTGTTCTTTTTTGCCTTTTATGTTTATTATTCTTCTTTTGCTTAGAAACAGGAAAAGCGAAGTACAAACAAAGGAAAGAGAAACAGGACAGACTGTGGAGGAGTTTTGCCTCTAAGTGCTACATGCCATGTCATTGTTACTTCCATATTTCATCTTTTTAATAGTAAAAAGCTGATGCTCTTTGGTATTTGCACAGACAATTTCAGGGTAACTTTGCTAGTTTGTCATTTTGTGAACAAGTTTGGTCCTATTGTTTAAATAGGGATCTTCATGTTGTATACTCTGCATCTGATAGACAATGGTATGGATTTTTGGGGGTTAATAATTTTAGGTTACTGGAGATCACATTAGGATGTGTATAAAAGGGAACCATTCATCTTGTTTCCATTGTTTTTTTATGGTTCAGAATTAGAAGAGTGAGAGATATTTACATAGATCATTAACAAATAACTATATTTAAGTGTTGAGTGATTAAAATCTATCATATTTTATAGTATTTTATATGTTTTCCCCATTAACCACTTGAGCTCCTGAGGATTTACCACCCTTAATGACCAGGCCTCTTTTTGCTACTCGGCGCTGCACTAATTCAACTGATAATTGCGCGGTCATGCAATGCTGCACCCCAAACGAAATTTACGTCCTTTTTTTCACACAAATAGAGCTTTCGGTGTAATTTGATCACCTGTGCGCTTTTTATTTTTCACGCTATAAATAAAAAAAGGCCAAAAATTTTGAAGAAAAACAATATTTTTTTACTTTCAGCTATAAAAAATATATAGTAAACTCAAAGTTGGTTATAAATTTAGGCCAAAATGTATTCTGCTACATGTTTTTGGTAAAAAAAAAAAATCGCAATAAGTGTATATTGATTGCTTTGTGTGGAAGTTATAGCGTCTACAAACTATGGTATAAATACTGCAATTTACGCCATTTTTTCTGCTATACAGCGCTGTGCTAGTTTAACGGACAATTGCACGGTCATGCAATACGGTACATAAATTAAATTTACATCGTTTTTTTCCCCACAAATTGAGTTTTTTTTTCGGTGGTATTTGATCGCCTGTGCGGTTTTTATTTTTTGAGCTGTAAAAAAAAGGCTGACAATTTTGAGGAAAAAAAAAACAATATTTTGGACTTTTTGCTATAAAACATGTCCAGTTAAAAAAAAAAAAAATGCAAAAATCAAATTTAGTCATAAATGTCCACCAAAATGCATTCTGTGACATGTCTTTGCTAAAAAAAAAAACCCAATACGTGTAAATTAATTGGTTTACGTGAACGTTATAGCGTTTACAAATGGCGGGATTTACTGGGATTTTTAGGGGTTTTTTTTATACTAATAATGGCGGCGACCAGCGACTTATGGTGGGACTGTGGCGGACATTCTGACATTGGGGGGTACTGACTTGGGGTCACTGACATCCCCAAAACACTAATACAGTGATCAGTACAAAAAAAAAAACACTGACACTGTACTAATGGCAATGGGGAGGAAGGGGTTAACTTTATTTTGCAGGGAAGGGTTATAGGAGTGAGGGGGAGTGTTTTAATAGGGGACGGGGGTGTGTACTGGACGGGACAAGGCTGACCGAGAAAGAGAAACTGTTCTTTCTCGATCAGCTCATCCTCGAGCTGACAGGGAAGTGACAGACAGCACAGCTACTGCAGCTGTGCTGTCTGTCACTGTTTGCCGCCGATCGCCGGGAAACAGCCGACCCGGCGACTCACATCTGCGGCGGTGATCGGCGGGACAGATAGGGCGGCGGCGCGCTTTGCACGCGCCCCCTATTTGTTTACAAAACACATGTTTTGCCTGCGAGTGCCGCCCTGCCGCCTTATATCTACAGTGGCTGGGCGGCAAGTGGTTAAAGAAACTCTTCTCACTTATGGGTTGAGTTCTGAGAAGTGTACTTTAGGAGAATGTTTTTGCTGAGCATTACTCCCAGGAAGCCTCACTGTATTTCAGTGTTAAAAGCTGAACTAACCCTTGTATCCTTTTCAGCCAAGGAAGCTGACATTTTGGTGACTGTTTGATCTGCAACCGCCATGGTGCTTCACATGTGATCAGTTATGACACCAGCCATCTGATGGTTTGTCAGTTTGGTTGAGAACACAAGCAAATGTGACAGTTAGCATTCCTGGCATGCCAGGAATGTAAGTGTTTTTGAAACCGTTAAATCAATGGGTTGAGTACTGCTTTAAATATGAAACGGGATTTGGGTGGTAGAGACAATAAGATTTTTGTTGTTGATGATGGGACATTTTCTATATATAAGCCCTTTCTTGACTCAATGATACATAGTAAGTAGTGACAGTCTTCCCAACAGGGACATGAACCTGACAGTCGATAGCAGGCCATTGTCTGCTCTATACATACCAGTAAAAAAATGGTTGAATCTTGACTTTATTTATGTGTATGCAGCTTACTTTGCTAATGTAAGATGGATA